CACACAGCAGTCAGGAGCATGGAGGGGGGCCCTGGCAGATCTGGGGGCCTAGTCTCCAACTGCTAACCCCTGGTCCTGAGCGGTCCTGACTGCCCCGAGCCTGTTCCTCTCAAGGAGGTCGAGCCTGGGTGAGGCAGGATGTGTGGGCCAGCTGTGACGGCTACCCCGGCCCACCATCCTGCACTGTGCACGCTTCCCTGCAGCCCATAGCATCTGCCATGGGAATCTCTCCAGGGCCCCTGGGCTGCACTTGGTCCTTTCAAACCAGCCCCCGGGGATCAGGGAAAGGCGCCCTCTGGCAGAAAGCAGAGGGGGGTCTCAGTCCCCAAGGGCGGAGAAGTGAGGGGACCTTCCTTGCCCACGCCTGCCCTGGCCGCCTGACCCCAGCTCCTTCCCACGGGGCCCCGTGCCAGCTGTAGGGACTGCGCTGCAGGACACACTCTGCACCACTTTGGCGAGCCCACGCGCAAGGGCAGCGCCCTGTGCGCCCCACACAAGTGCCTGCATGCCGCCCCAGGCTCATAGTGAGGGAGGCAACGAGGGAATACTTCCCAACTGGGAAGTGTGGTTAGAGCTGAACTGTGTAAGAAAGCATTTCACACGCCAGTCATTGTTCAAACAAGAAACCTGATGAGGGGACCATAGCTAAGGGCCGCCCTTCCCAGAGAGACTGTTTCCAAGGGCTGAGGGTTTGGTTCAAGGGGAGGGGGGTGTGGACGCTCTGATGGCGTCTCTCCGCTGCCCTGCCCTGCCCACCGTTCAGCAGTGAGAGTCAGGCTATCCTGGGAGCACGGAATGGTGTCTGGCCCCTGGGGGAAAACCTGGACCCTGGGCTAGGGGTGCTTAAGACAGGCCTGTTGCCTGCCACATGGCTGGGGCCCTCCCTGGGACCAGGGCTGCAGCTGGAGGTCAGCAGCCAGATGCAATGCTTGGAGCCAAGCCAGCCACACACTGCAGCTGGCCCTGCACAGGTGGCGCCACCACGAGTGTCAGCCTGGGGCTTTGAGCCATGGCCTCTGCTGGGGTCAGGCACGAATATGTGTGCTTCCTCGAACACACATGCACTGTCAGTCAGAGTTGAGAGTGATCCTGCCCACCCCCATTTCTGACCTTCTAAGACACAAGGTGATGTCCGGTCCGGATAAGGCCAGGCTCCCACCCACAAGCCCAGCACCCCGCACTGAGCCAGGGTCAGCACCCAGCCTTGGCTGTGCACCCCCTGAGCAGGATACTGCTTGTTAAGAGCCAGACAGGCCCAGTTCCCCTTGCTGACCCTTACTGCACCCACAGCAAACTGCCCCCACCCCACCCCAAGCTGCAGCAGGCACACAGACCAGCATGGGCGCGGGGTCTGTGCAGGAAGCTGCATTAAGCTCCTAAGAGCCAAAAGTTACAGGCACACTAAGATTCCCTAAGTCTGGGCCTCCAGGCTCGGTCTCACACAGCTATCTGCTTCCTTCAGCTGAAAGAGAGCACCCTTGGCGATCCCATCACACAGCGTTCTCAACCGGCCGCATGCTGAGACCCTTCATACAGGTCCTCTTGTGGTGGTGACCCCCCCCAGCCATAACATTATTTTCGTTGCTACTTTATCACTGTCATTTTGCTACGGTTATGAATGGGGCGACCCTGTGAAAGGGTTGTTCGACCCCAAAGGTTGAGAAGCACTGCCGTCATAAATAAAGCCAGTCGTGATCTGAAAAGAAATTGTCTGAAGGCAGCTTCTTTTCCAACTTCAATCATTAAGAAAACGCGGGATTCTTGTTGGCCACTGCAGAAGTGCCCCCTGCTGTCCTGACCAGGGAGCTGAGCCACTAGGCCCCTGCCAGGGTGCCAATGGGGCCACTCTGAGCAACCAGGCAGGTGCCGGGTTGGGCACTGAGGGTACACCCTTCAGCCAGCTACCAATGACCAGCACCAGCTGTCTCTCCAAGCCCTGGGCCCATCTCAAGAACAAGTCCAGCCTCCCACACGTGCTGCCTGTCTTCAAGGAGCAAATGACACAGATAAAAACAACCATTGTACATGTGTGAAGGAGACCAAGCAGCCTGAGATCTCAACCTCTCGGGCGGGGTGTCAGGGGGGCTTTGAAGGGACAGCTGAGCAGATGCTGATGGAAGTAAAGCCGCCATCTGTGGGAAGAACCCACAGAGGAGCAGGACACACGGATGCCTGGAGGAGGCAGGGATGAGCGTGGTGCCTGAGCACCAGGAGGGTGGGGTGGCGGGGAGAACAAGATGAAGTCTGAGATGTGACGGGTCCTAAGGGCCACAGAATGAGCCTTAGAAGGATAAGGGGATTTGCAGAGGTTGGGCCTGCCATTTAAAGTCAGAATTAAGGTAGAAGGAGGCAGGGCCACGAGAGAAGCAAGCCACATGATGTGACAGATAACCACCCCACTCCCACCCCCTCCCTCGGGAGGTGGGGTGGAGATACCTCAGAACCGGAGCCCCTCCCTTCTGAACAACTATTCCAGACGGCATCCCCCCACCCCACCCCCGCAGCCTCCCAAGGGCCCGGGCCTCTGGGAAATGACTACCAGAGTCAAGGGGAGGCCTTTTTGGGCCCAGGTAAAATCCCCAAATGTCTCCGGGGGTGGGGGTGGGAATCAGGAAATGCTCCCTGAAGGTAGAGGTGGGATGTTGTGTGGGGTCTTCCCTGTGTCGTGACATTCCCTAGCCCCTCTAGTTCATACCCAGAGCACTCAATCCTTCAACCCTGGGTCCTCAAGGCTACTGACTCACAGGTTTAAAACCAAGAGCATCCAGGCAGAGGGGAGAGAGCTCACAGTGGTTCCACTGCCCTACTGGACGGATTGATGGATGGACAGATCAACCAGCAGACACAGAAGTCAGACAAGGCCGGCTCCCTCACGCAGGTGGAGGATCCTTTTTTGGAGTCATCCAACAACACCCCCCCCCAAAAAAACAACAACAAACCCTCAAACTAAACACTGCCATCGAGTCAGTGCTGACTCATCGTGAGCTCCTATGGGTTCCCAAGACTACACATACAGGGGTGAAACGCCCAGTCTTTCTCCCTCAAAGGGCCTGGCGGCTTCAGACTACCGATCACCTGACTCACAGCCCAATGTATAACCACCACCCCACCAGGGCTCCTGCAATACCGGAGTCACAAAATGCCCTCTTGGCTGCCCTCTCCCTTGTGATGTTCCCCCCCTCATCCTGCATTCCCTCTCCTGGCACCCAGCCCACCTCATTCCCCCAAGCAGCAAGCCCTGGGCTTTTCAGAGTAAAACGGGGACATCTTCCATTGACTGTCCTGAAGACAGCTTAAGCATTTGACAAGGAGACAGGACCACAAGGAAATCCTTGCTGCAGCTGCCCACTCATCTCCTTAAATTTGCCTGAAGAAACTGGGGCCCATCTGAACCTCTTTACTTTGTATCCAATCTCCCCTGGGACCCTCCTGAACCTCTTTACTTTGTAACTAATCTCTGCCTGAGTGACTTTACTTTGTATCCAATCTCCCCTGTTAACTGGGACCCATCGGAACCACTTTACTTTGTATCCAATCTCCCCTGTTAACTGGGACCCATCGGAACCACTTTACTTTGTATCCAATCTCCTCTGTTAACTGGGACCCACCTGAACCACTTTACTTTGTATCTCTTGTTTCCTGTAACTCACTCTAGGTGTCTGCAATCTGGCTTGCTTTCCAACTGGTAGGATTTTTGATGCAACAAGTTTATCGCACAAAGTCTCATGAAGGATCCCTAATGGTTTAAATATGGTTAAAAACCCCCAAGCTGTCGTAAGGGAGAAAGATTGGCAGTCTTCAGACCTCCACGGGACAGCTCTCCTCTTGTCCTCTGGGTCCCTGTGGCGGTTCATGAGCCTGCCATGCATCTGAATGAAGTACACCCAGGGCTCAGGCGGCTGATGAGGGAAAGCACCCCACTCCACTGTTGAGCAGTGCAACAGCACTGGAGCAAGGGTTGCCCCCTCTGCCTGGACCACCCTTCTCCCACCTGGCTCAATCCTGCACCTCTTAGAGGTCTTCGCTCAAATGACTTTCTCATGGAAGCCTACCCTGGCCACCCCATTTAGAATTTCAACTGCAATTGGATTTTTGCCGTATCTGTCTGTAATAACTTCTCACCCACGGACATACCGGGTACAGTTACTTGTTTGTTTATTGTGACTCCACCCTATTTGAACGTCAGCTCCAGTCTTGGTTTTGTTTTCCTGTTTTGTTTCATGCTGTGACCCAGCACCTAAAACAGTGCCTGGCACACCGTTGTTATTCAGTAGGAATCACCAACAGAAAAGGGCTGGCATCGTAACCTGTTTCGCCACTGTCCGCAGGCTTGTGACATCGTTCCCACGGGTCTAGGCATAACCCCCCCACCGGGATCCTCTTTGCTCAGCTTAGGCCCCACTCATCTTAAAGTCTCCCCCTGTCTAGTCCATCCCCCAGTAGCCAGGAGAGGCCCCACCTTGGCAGAAAGATGTGCCAGTAAAGTGGGGTACCCTGGGTTAGTTTGGCCTATACATCTGGACCCCCAGCTTGATTGACACTAGGGTCTTCACAGCTGGCAGGGAGGCTGTCTCTGGCAGGCTCTTAGGTCGCTGCTTGGGTTCCAATCCTGGTTTCACTGCTGGACTGGCGGTGAGTCAGCCTCACTCTCTCACCCACCAACTAGTTCCAGGGTGGGGGCTGTGCCTACCTCACAGGGAGGCTGTATGGGCTAAATAAGACCATTCATGAAGCTCAGAAAACACGAGCTAAGATGCTGGCCCCCTGAGCCTATTCAGGCTGGAAGGCATTGCCTATAAGATGGTTGAACCCAGTGACACTCCCCCCCGCCCCCTAGAATGTAGTAAAGGCTGGTGTCCCAGGGGAAGTGCTTGGGGATGGTGTGGCAGCCTATCCACATTTGGACAGCCAGCTTGCTTCTCTTCAAACCACATTGGGCAGAATCTCTCCCCCCACCCCAACCCCAGGCTCTGAGGTCAGTGGTGGCAGGGAATGTCCAACAAACAAGCACAGAAACCCAATCTGATAGCTGTGAAGGTGCATCCTCCAGGCAGGACTGCCCTCCTGGTCTCCAAGGCTGTATGTAATCTTTACTGAAGCCCAATGCCAAGTTTCTTCCGGAGAAGGCTGGTGAGTACCCACAGCAGATCGCTGGCGAGCCTATAGCCTTCCACCAAGGCGAAACCAGGGACCAGGGACCCTCGGGGCGTTCCAATGACAATTTAGATAAGTTGCCCAGTGGGTGTGTGTGTGTGAGTCACATTGCCCAGCCCTCTGATGGGAGGCTCAGCTGCCCAGGCTTAGCGAGGGTGGGCGCCAAGGTTACCCTGTTCTGTCTCTCTCTCTCTCTCTCTCTCTCTGCGGGTGGGGGTGCACACTTCACTTGGGTAAACATCTGGCTGGCTAACGAAAGGGCTACTGTGGAAGCCGCCATGTTCAAAACAGATGTCACGTGGTCTGCAGGAGTTCATTTCCAGGTCCGCCGAGCAACTCCAGACTTACCGAAGAGCAGCGGCTTGAGGCTGAGGGTTCGGATCAAGTGGTCCCTGTCGGCCACCAGCTGGACTTTGCGCTCGTGCCCCACCTGCGGGAAAAGAGGCAC